GAAGGCGTCTCGGGGCGCGGAGATTGTCCAGACTCCGGGCGAGCTAGCATCTTTCACCCCGGATTAAGACAAAACCGGGGCAAAAGGAAGCTCTAGCCCTATCCGGACTCACTCACCTCCCCCTCTTTGCCCGAGGGACGAGGTTCCTAGCCGAGAGACAGCTGGCAGACGCTGTCTCTTCAAGCTTTTACACGCTCCCAGACGGGCGGCTAAAAAAGCCGCCATGCGATGCCAGCTGTCACCACCGGAAGTCAGTACCCTTTCTGAATAAATTTGCTTTTTGTGAAAACTCACTAAATGAACGTTTGTACCTGGGGGATTACCTGTATTTCTGGTGACATAGTTAAATGTAAGATAGATGTCATTGCTTCCAGTTGCTTCCTCTCTTTTATATAAATTAGTGCTCTGATATTGGTTTTGAAAAGGAATAAGTACTTGAACATGTTGGAATAAAGATAAAAAAGTATGTTTGAATTTGTATAAAAATATGACATATTTCTTTTTTCTTAGGTGTCAACAAAACAGATTGCTCATAATAGCATCCTGTCTTTGCTAATAAACTTGTCATTCTTTGAAAGACAGTCCTGTAATCTTGATTCCATCCATTCACTTTATCCCTACTTCTGTTTCCCTCATCCTTGCCAACATAATCATTTGTTCTAGGCTATCAAGTTATTTGAATCACACCCAAAGTATGTGAATTTCTGCTTACCAGTCAGTATTTACAAAGGCTATTGCACCATGGCGGAAGTGAAATGTTGACTGAAACAAATCTTATTGTACACATAGATTGTTTTTGTTTATTCTGGGAAATTTATACATGTTTAGTTTAAAAAGACCAGTAATTTAAGTAATTCTGTATTACAAGCCATATACATTTGCAGTGGACAGAAAACTTGTACACTTCCTAGTGCTGATCACACAAGTGTCTTCACTGTAAGATTTAGAAATTTGCTTTATTTTCAAGAAATGTAAGAGTTTCAGGGTGTTCTTAATGTGAAAACTAGTAACAGTGGATGTTGTTGATTTGTTGGTTATAAAGTTCCATGGAAGTAGTTCTGGCCCACAGTAATTGCGAGGGTACAATGATAAACATGTAAAGTATTTTTAGCTCCACAGTAAGAGGACACACGATACAATTATAGGCATCTTCCTACATATATATGCTATCAGATGATGTTTGTATATTCTTAATTTCATAAATGTTTGCTAATAATAATAGCTTAATATGAAGCACTTATTTAGAATTATTCTGATTTAAACTTCAATTTCTTAAGTTTAAGATTACAGGCAATGATTACAGAAATTAGCACATATGATAAAATATGTAATGTTGGTGAATCTTGCTTACTTTGCTTGCAGTCCATTCTGAAACTTCTTGCACTTACAAAATACAACGATTGTCATTTTCCTACCTTTTGTTTGTTTATTTGTTTGTTTGTTGTGCCTTTGAGACTGTGAGTCCTGGCAACTGCCTGGACAACTCCTTGCAATTTTCTTAAAAGGTTACCCTTCTAAGACTTGTGCCTGAGGCAGGACTGGAACTCTTGGTCTCTGGGTTGCTAGCCTAGTGCATTAACCCTACACCTAAGTTGCTTTCCTTATAGATATTAAACTTTCCATATTTTGCAATCTCATTTTAGATAACTGAACAATATGAAATGAAAGTTTAAAAATTCTATCCTAAACTGCTGCATTCACCTTAATATACATATTGCTCCAGTCATGTCTTGCCGATCTCAGAAACGATAATGTGATTTGAAACAAAAGCTTAGCAATATTACAATACATTTCTTAGCAATATGTCAATAAAATCCATCTGAAACCATATACACCAAATTGCCTGCTGAAACCACAAGACTTCGACGAGTGTATGAAGTTTTCTAATTTATTTTTTTTATGGAAACATGCAAAATATAAGCAAAATGCCCCTGAGACACACTTAAAAAGTAAAATTAAAACAGGGCTATCCTTAACCTTAACAAAAGGGATAGAAACCAGAAAAGAGAAGAAGGGAGGAAAAAACTAAAAAAAATATATGAAAAGTTGACAAATTCAGGCCTCATTTGATATCAGGGGATTGCTGTTCCAGTGAAGGGGAGCAGCAATTGAGAAAGCATGACTCAGGAATTCCTGCAATGTATTTCTTTAAGAGTAATGACCCAGAGGAAGGTTCCACTGATACCTAGGTTATTAGCCAAGAAAGACTTTAAAACTGAAAAGTAGCACCTTTGACTACACCTGGAAGGAAATAGGAAACTTCTGTAGCTCTCAAAGCAGAGATGTTACATGATTGTGCCCATAACCTCTCAAGCGGCTGCATTCTGAACCACTCACTCTCAGTTTCAGGGTTTTCAAGAGTAACTTCACACATTGGAGAAATCTAAATAGGAAGTGATCGGGGACCTGAGTAACTATGCACAAAGCCTCTCTATGCAGATAAAGCAACAACTGGTGCATAAAGTAGACCTGTTCAAAGGTGTTCCTAGCCACAGCTGCCATCTATCCTTCAAGCAGGAACTGCGAATCCAAGAACACAGATTACAAACCAGCACTAAATTATGCCATTCGGTTAAGCTTACTCTGTTTTGTGGGAATTAAATCAAATTCTGTTCTTTCCTGTCCAAACCTCTGCAGTTTCCTGACTTTGTGATAGAACATCCAACACATCCCTTGTCTGGGCTGAAGTTAAGATATCCAACTAAGTATCAGCTATGTATTGATGATATGTGATTCCATGGCAGTGAATGACCTTCCTCAGTAATTTATGTAGATATTAAATAAGAGGTGGGAAAGTGTCAACCTACGTAGCATTCTGTAGTGGAGGGCTTGATCTCCTATCCCCTCCCCCATTACTCTTGATTGGATTCACCAGCTTTCGAAGGAAGAAAACCCCTGAGAGCAATCATTCCCCACCCCACCCCAAATTCCAGCCTTTGCACATGTCCAGGAGGTATTGAAAACTGCTAAAGGGTATTTTTTTTAGTGATTTAGCACCAAAATCCTAACTCTAGGCTAAAATTAGATGTGCTTGTTAAGATTTTGGGAAATAAGCTCATGAATATTAATCTAGAGTAAAGCTGCTTGGAAGTTTTGAAGAGAAATTAAATAATGAGTTCAGAGTTTTAGCCAAGGTCATTTCGTCTCCTCCCCTAATGCTACCATTAATTGAATGTAAGGCTGTTTTGCATTTGGTTACAGTTGGTGGACATGATTCTAACAAAAATTGGATCTCAAAAATGTGATTACTTCCCATCACTGCTTACTTACACACTGGTACATAATTAATACCAAGTAAGTCTGGACTTTCTTAAAAAAATAGCCTGTCTCTCAGTGAGAGATAGGTTTTGTTGATATTAAATTGTTTCAATAGGTACCCAGTTATTATAAATACTGATCTTTAAAAAAAAACTTAAGATCTGTTGGAGTGGGTGAGTAGAAGGACTGTTTTCTTCCATGAAAAAAGTCATTAGAGAATTGTAACAAAGCTGAAGACAGTCATCCTGCTTCCTATAGACACCTCTGTTGTAGTGCCACAGGTATTTAGAAGGGAAGAGGTTAGATCGTTTTCCCAGGACTGATGTGGTAATGAGGCATTTTTTTTGTATGTTGTTTTTTAGCTCACAGTAAATGAAGCAGCTGCTCAGTTATGTGTCAAGGATAATGCACTGTTAACCCGGAGGGATGAACTTTTTGCTCTGGCACGGCAGATCTCTCGAGAAGTTACATACAAGTACACTTACCGGACTACCAAGTAAGCTACATTTAAAAAAAAAAATTAACTTGAAACGGGTATATTATGAAATCATTTTGCAATCTTTCTGCCCTGTGGTCAGTTTATGGTCTCACAGGCTCAATACAAATATATGAACCAGATGGGAGGTGTGAATACTGGTGCATTCTTACTACACTGAGAATGTCACACGTTTGACACCATTATGTGTCATAGCTCAGCCTTTTTTGAGCAGAGAGGATTGGACAAGTTAACTGTAGACAATTGCATCATACTTCTCTGTTGGGAACATGGAAACTTTCACATATCCACAGCATTTTTTTAAAAAAATCAATGTTGTGGGGAGTTGCATTTTTTTTTCCATCAGAAGACTACTTGGGTGTTCTCAGAGAGGGTAAAAATCTTTCTCATCTCTCATATGTTCAGTGAGTATTGTTTATAGGAACCCACTTTCTCTCCCCTTGCCATAGATGGTGCAATCCAGTGCTAGTGAACCCTATGTCTTGAACCATGTACTGCAGTGAGCAGAATGGCTTTGAAGGACAGGAAGAAGACTCCCTACCAAGACAGTGGTCAGATAAGAAACTCGAGTCCAGAGAAAATGGACCTGAGAAAATGTTTCAGACAAGACCCTCTCTAGTCTGGTCTACCTTGAAGGTTAACATCAACCTTGCAAGTCTCGATATGCTTCCCCTCCCTCCCTTTATCTTCATAAGAACTAGGGGATGTTTGAGATGTTTCCTCAAGTTACCATTCTTCACCAGACTCAGGTTTTGTTTATCTGGCCATTGTCTTGGTAGCAGCTCTTCCTCTTGTCCCAAGGCCAGTCCTTCTGCCCTCTACATGTTCATTGCCTGACTGTGAAGCTGCCTTAAAATGAAGACTCTCAGATTGAGACAGTATAACAGTTTTGCAAATGAACAGACAAACATAGGAATAAATTAAATGAAGATAAATTCAGAGAAGAGTAATTTTCAAGGCAGATGTTTTGCAAATATTTTTCTGAACATAGTGTACGCATTCCAGTTTTTAAAAAAATGTATTTTCATCTCCTAGGTCTAAATGTGGAGAAAGGGATGAATTGTCACCAAAGAGAATTAAGATAGAGGTATTGTACTTTTAACTTGTTCTGTCTAGTTGTGGCTGCTAAAACTGACTTTTGCAAGAGGAAACAATCAAACAGGTCATTTTACCAAGAGACCTGTTTTCCTAAAATATTCCAATCCAATTTTCCCAAAGCTGGGTTCTACAGATAGTGATTATCATCACAAATAATGGGAACAAGTTTGTGGAGTGCGTTGGAGAAAAAAAATGAATTATGATAGCATTACTTTTTAGTCTATTTATAAAAATGAACTTGTAAACTTTCTAGAGTTGACATTATCTTTGCCTTAAAAGGTAGTGTAAGATATTTAAAATGAAAATAAATTCAAGTCACTTCTCAATAATTTAAAAAACAGTGGTAGTTTAAAATGGTTCTTGACTGTTTTTATGATAATTGAGTGTCAGTTCAGTGTAATGGTTAAAGTGCTGGCCTAGAAACCAGGAGACTGTACGTTCTAGTCCCGCCTCAGGCATGAAAGCCAGCTAGGTGACTTTGGGCTAGTCACTCTCTCTCTCTCTCAACTCATCTCACATCACAGGGTTGTTGTGGGGAAAATAGGAGGAGGAAGGAGTGTTATACGGTATATGTTCATCGCCTTGAATTATTTATAAAAATAATAAAGGCAGAATCAAAAAAATCTTTTAAAAAACTCCAAAAAATGCCCATACAAATTATTCTTTCTCTTCTGTTTGTAATCCTAGAAGCTGGTCCTTTGTTACATATACAAATAGAGTCTGGAAAAAGAAAAATTGAGAACCCTTCTGCCCTATGGCTAAACTGAGTCTTCAAGCAAAACAGTAGTTTTTTCCCTTGACAAAATGAATTCTACACATTATTTGAGGAAAGACTTGAGAGAAAACATCAATTTATTGATCTTATATCCAACCTTTTATTTTGTACAACTCAGGGTGGCAAATATAATGCTCCCACCTCCTGTTTACCACTCAACAACTCTGTAAGGTGGGTTAGACCCAGAGAGAATGATTAGTTCAAAGTCATCCAGCCACAGTTTCCAATTAAGCTTTAATTAATGACAAATAAGTTAGATTTGTGACTTACCAGTATATGAACAGGACTGTTAAGCTAAATTGGCTTTCTCCCATGTAGACAATCCCAATTTCACGGGACTGCAGTTCCTAGATAGTGATAGATTGGGAAGCTGGGTTGAATCATGGACTGAGTTGAAGTATTGCTCTATAATCATATGGCATAAATGGAATTAGGGTTGTTTATTTTTTCAGTGTAAACAAAAACCTTGTTTCTATTCAGGTAATTCAATGAACTATATTTCCTCGTTCAGATCTTCTGCATTTTAGGAAATACTTTAGACTACCTGGGAGAGAGTATTCCCTTAATCACTAAAGAAATATTTTTCTCTCTTTGGGACATTGACTAAATATAGCAAGCCAAAGGAGCTTTTATCAGTATTTCTTCTTTAGGATTTACCTTTAAATAACACTGTTGATGTTAAATTCTAGAAACTGGAGTGCATAAATATAGAGAAGGTCCTTTTATTTTCAGTGAAGCTTCAAAATATAAGACTTGTCCCTGTCTAATATCAAGTGATATGCACCATATCAAGATATATGGTGAACATGTCAAGGTAGTGACTCTGATTATTGAACTGTCCCTTTTTTTGATGTGTGTCACATGCACATCAATTATGACAAACAAACAAACATAAAATAGCCCACAACTATAGTCTCACAAGCTGCTGGTCTTGTTAAGTTTTTTTTAAATAGAGACAATAATTTCTATCAACTTTTTTTGTTGAGTTGGTTTTAATTATTTATCAAATTTATGTAGGTTTTTATGAATTAAATTTAACTTACGAATTATGAATTTGGGTGCATTCAGTATTCTTTTGACCCTCCTACACTTTGCTGTATTATGAACTGACCTTGAAAATCCATTACATTGTTTGCTTATAATACGAAGAGGGATATACATGTTCTGGGAATGAATATATTCTAATTAAAAATAATAGGAAGTAGGTTCAGCATTTTTTGTTCTGTTTTTGCTTTTTAGGAAGGTATATTTTAATTTGATAGCTTTGCTCTGAGTGGATTTTTTTTTTAAAAAAAATGGGCTAAAAGAAGGAGTTGGGGTGAAGAAAGATATATAGTTAAAACTTACTTATTTCTATCAAACTAATGATGATTTTTCAACAATATCAGACTTGGAAGGGATCTTGGAGGTCTTTTAGTCCAATCCTCTGACCAGAGCAGGAGATCCTATGTCATTCTGGACAAAAGTCTGTCCAGTCTCTTCTTGAAAAGTCTGTCCAGTCTTCAGTGATGGAGCACTCACAACTTCCAGAGGCAAGCTGTTCTACTGATTGTTCTCATTTTGAAAGTTTTCTTCATTTTTGTACTCACTTTAAAGACTTACTCCAATATTGCACTGAATAGAAAGTCTTAAATATAAGATTTATCTATCTAAGCACAGTATTCAGTAGTGCTATGTATCACATTTCTTTCCAAATATATTTCCAGTGTTCCTTTTTTTGTATATTTTTTACAGTCACAAATAACAAATGTTGCCAGTCACATCAGTATATCGCCTCACATATATTCGATTTCAGTTTTGCTGGATGCATTTTGACTCATGTTTTTAACAGCTTATAATTATTTATACAAGCTTGAAATAGATCCGAGTAGACATGCTTCAGTTTTTCAGGCTTCTGGATGCCTGGCAGCTGGCCACATGTGTTAATTCAGATACATCCCCATCTCCTCCCCTCTAGTATTTGAATTGTGCAGGGTTAAATATAATGCTTTAAATGCATTTTTTTTTCTTACTGCTAAAATTATTAATATAAGGATTGAAACTGATAAGGCGGGAATCGCTAATTCTCAGGCCAGGGAGAATTGCTACAGAAACATAGAATAAATACTGGTAGTTTTCAATTTGCAATGGGTCACTTAATAACTGTTCAAAGTTATGAGAGACCTCCCCAGAGCTCTTTACAACCCTTTTTAGCAATACGATGGCTGCACATATACACACCAACACTGCAGTTAATTGCATTTTGGATGTCTGGCAACTTGCTCATCTTTACAGACATTTGTAGGGTCCCTGCAGTTACATGACTGCAATTTGTGACATTTTTTGGCTGGTCTCCCAACAAAAAGCACCTATTAATTGTTGATCGAGTAACAACCGATCCCATCTCCCCCCAATCCGCCCCCGCCCTCCTCACGTGTCCTTGATTTTAATTGGTTTTAATTTATTCAGGTTTTAATGTAGATGTATTTTTTTATGTTTGTAAGCTGCCCAGAGTTATCTTATGGTAAGATGGGTGGCTGAGAAATTTTATAAATAAATACATTGGGGGAAATGGATTTGCATAATGCCTGTGGCATTCACTTAAGTTTAAAGTAGGATATTAGATAAAATACGGAAAAAATTAATTTGTCAGATCTCCCAGAGATTTTGACTTCAGATCTGCTCAGATATCAGTGAAAAAAATTGTACCAGAATATGGGTGGGAAGAGAAGACGCCAGGAATATCATTGCCCTTTTCAGTTGCCTCCTCCCACTCATTAGAAGTTGAGCCTACATATCTGTTAGAGAAAAGTTACAGCAGTGTGCACAAATCCTGTATTTATATTAAGAATTTGGCCAATTTGCATCAGTGCCATGTTAAACTTTCCCTGTCCTGTTGCAAATGCCGCACCCACCTACACACACACAGAGGTGGGTTGCTAGTTAAGAATAGCAATTTACTCAAGGCTGAGTAGATAAGTGGCAGACAAGGAAAAAAATGTATACATCAAAACAGAGTTTTTGGGAAAGAAAGCTTCCCTAGGTAGTTTTGCTTTCAACAAGAACAGGCAGACATGAAGTCAAGATTGTCACCCAGTCTAAGAATGAGAGTTTCAGGGTTTGTAAACTGAATTCACAAGAATGACATGCTAGAACAGGAGATCAGACAGTTCTTTCCAACAGAGAAATGTGGGTTAAGGCTGCCTCTTAAACTGCAACTAGCTGACTTTCACAAGGTTAATTACTCCTTGCTTGGCAAAGAGCCTCATTGAATGTCTTTGTTCTGTCTCCACTCTGTCACTGAGTTCAAGGGCTTAGGGCAGGGGTCTTCAAATTTGGTCCTTTTATGAATTGTGGAGCTCAACTCCCAGAATTCCTCAGCCAGGTATGCTCATCATCTGAATACTCCAGCTATTCTGATACTGCCTGTGTTGGAGCAGGCTCAAACACAGACTGGCTTGTGTCTCCTAAAGCTGATTATCCACAGGTTTAGCTGGAGCAGCTTCTTAAGAGTCTATTTCCTGGACCATGACTTTCCTTTTCTAAAGTATCAATGAAACCACATTCTTATGGAGAAATCCAGAAAGTAAGAAAGATGGACCTTGATGTAGATAAGCAAGCTCTGCTACCAAAGTAATGGGGTGGGGGGGAAACGTCTTAAATCCACAACAGATGGATAATAGTGTAATGAGGAGGTGCAGTACAATAAGATTTAACAAATTGTTTTAACCTCCTGTGGAATTAATTTCCTGGATCTAGACCACCTAGTAGAGCTGACAGAAAGGGGTACATTTTGAAAGAAGACACCCCATATGCTCGAGATTTGACTAATTGATAAAAAAAAAAAAGTTTGTCCCTACTTCCAGGAGTTCAAAGGCACCCAGAAATTAAATGGAACCCAGCTATGCAAAGTCTCATGTCAACATTTAATCATTCTTGTTACTCTACAGATCAAGACAGGTTTGAAAATACAACTGTGAGTCAAAATAGAACGGGGCACCTTTCACTAAATCTAACACAATCAAACATGCTTTCTTCTCTTATCTCATCTAAACTCCTTTTGGGGTCTGAGACTACTCTGATTTTTTTTCCCTCTTACCCTCATCAGCAATTGTCAGGAGTCCCAACAATTTTATTTAGCTTTTCTTTGTCAATTTCCAATAGTCTTTGGAGTGGATAGGCTTCATATTCACAATCTGGATACTCGTGGGATAATACAACATTTGAATTGACATGCAAACCTCACAGCCTGTAGGGCTTTAGGTTTATCACACTGCAGTAAAATATGAACCCTACTTTCAGTGTGAAATATATGGGCTATTTATTTGTTTATTAAATTATGTTGCCCATCTCCCTTGCAAAGTGATTTCGGATGGTTTACAATGTGTTTGGCGAAGGAGACATGAAGACTTGGCCTCCCATAAATTTTTCTCTTTGTCCCTGACCAGTGCTTCCCACCTTGTTTTTTTTTGTTTTGTTTTTTTAAAGAGAAAAGTAGTCTATTATTACTGTCCTCATTAGGATTCTCTAACCCTGATTTTGGAGCTCTTGCAATGGGTGCCGAAGGCATGCATATTTATCTCATTAAATCTCAAGGAATATTACAATCTGATTCATACAAGGAAGGGCATGTGCACTATATTGGATTGCTTTATATCAGTGATGGCGAATCTTTTAGAGACTGAGTGCCCAAACTGCAACCCAAAACCCACTTATGCATCGTCGAGTGGCAGGTGGGTGTGGCTCATTGGGTGGGCGTGCTGCGAGGGTAACGGCAGACTGGGTGGGACTAAAAAGTTCAATCAATCAATTCCAACTTTGCAAGATCTTTTTTTTTTCCCGCAAGATGTTGAAATTGACTGATTGAACCTTTTTTTTTTTGCACATGGCATCGGAGGCCTAAAGCGAAAAGGTTTTATAAAACCCAGCTGAAGGCCTAGGACTGGGGCAACGGCACGCATGC